CTTGCTAACTCCATTTTTTGCTTCGCTAGCATTAGTATTGGTGCTTGGAGGTTATTTATTGTCTTCTTGGTGAATCTTGATACTTGCAACATATAGCACAGTTTAGAGACTATACACATATTGTTAATATATACCGCTTGTGCTATTGTGAGTTTCTTTGGGTTTAACATTCGTGCTGTTGATCGTATAATTTCTTTAGCTCTTGCTTTGACTAAGGCTTCATCTAGATTGTTATTAAGCCATACTCCTAAAAACCTCATAATTTTGTTTCTTCCTTCTTCCACTATTCACTCATTGCCGAAAAAAAGCTTTCTATTTTCTCTTTTTTCTCTAAATTGGCTACAATCAATTTAGACTTTTTCCCATTTATTTGAATGTTATTCAATTTAAAAAATTCCTCTGCAATCTGTATTATCTTTTCCATCTGTTTTTTGCTTTCTGCAATCCATGTTGTATCATCAGCATATGCAACTACTGCTTGCTTCTATCTTCTTTCAGTCATATAGTTCAAGCTATAGTTATATGGGATCTGCTGAGATACTGTATACCCTAGACTTGGGTCTTGATTAATTCTTGACAAGAGTGGATTGTAAAAGATTCTCCACATCAGTGGTGAAAACACCTCCCCTTGCTCAATACCGTCCTTTATTTCAAAGCATTGTGTTGTTCCTAGCTCTGTGATAATTTTTGATTGTCTATTTTCAAATAGGTTAATAATAAATCTAATTGTAATATAAGGTATCTTGAGTCTTCTCATTGCTAATTCTAATGATTCAAGAGATACTGAATCGAAAGCCTTCTTCATATCTTGTAGAACTAGCCACAGTTCTTTTCTATTGTCTTTTGCATCTTCCATTATTGCATTTATGATTTGCACTGGTTCCTCTGTCGAGTTTCCAGGCAAACCTGCAAAATTTGGACCTTTTAAAATATTTCTTTCTGCTAAAACTTGTGCCAGCCTCTTAGTTACTATCTTAGTGACACACTTCCTAAATGTCTCAAGCAATGTGATTGGTCTGACATTATTTAAATCATAACACCAGTCTGTGTCCTTAGGAATCGGGTTTATCTGTGAGATTTTACATTTTAGTGGGACTTTGCCTGATCGAATGCAGTTTTGTGCAAATAGACGGAAAATCTTTTGCGCATAGGCACTTGCTGCTTTGATCAACGTATAAATAATTCCTGAAACTCCTAGAGCTGTGTTTTTCTTCAAACTCCTTAACATATCATACTATTCTTCTTCTGAAATGCTCTGATCCAAATCATTATACCACTCTTCTTGTATTTCTTCTTTTGGCTTATAAATAACCTTCAAGTTCTTTTCCCAAATATTCTGATCAAAGTAACGAGGTCTGAACTGTTTTTGAAAGTGTTCTCATATTTTGTTTAAAACTTCTTCTGGTTCTGTGCTGAGTTTTCTTTGGTTTTCATTTTCTTTTAAGAGTCTGTTAATTTGAATCTTCTTGAATGGCTTCTCCAATAAACTCGTAAGCATTTTCCCTTGCTTTCCATTAATCATCTGATATCTCCTTTCAATATTTTCTTCTATTTCTTTTCTTCGCTGCAGTTCGATCTCCCCTGCTTTTCTTGCGTATAGTATTTTTTATCAGCCTTTTAAATCATCAACTAGTTCATAGAACCAACAGTTGATTGATGTGTTAATGCTTGTCTTGTGTTGCTGGTTTGTATACTCCAATTATACAATTAAGTCATCAATATAGTCGTATATAAGGCTTAGTTTGATGCTCTTTCTTCCTATACTTATCCATCTTCCTAGTTGCATTATAGTATATGATAATCTCGACTCTTTTGTTTTCTTTCTTCTGTTTTGCACTGTATTACAGATCTTTTTCTTTGGTAGGTTGCATCTTGCTGCAGCAAGAATACTACTACTTATAGCATCCTAAAGCTTATCTAATTCTGCTACCTCTCCTCCGTAATGATAATCTTCTCTCAGAAGGCCTTGTATACTTATATTTTTGTTAAGCAAACTGTCCATTTGCCTTCTATAGTCTTTCCAGTTTTCTTTTGTTGCTTTTTCGTAGAGAAAGACTGTTCTTGTATGACCTTTTCTTCTGCATTCTGCTGCACTTTGGGTTGCTCTTAAATGATTTAATTGGTAATTCGTAGATCAATCGGTAAAATTAATTAGTAATATGATTGGGTAATTACTATATGATCATCTACGATTACTAAAATTTCTCCAATATTAGATTAGTTTGAATTGGCACATGATTTAAATAAAAATTTACAAGATAACGCATTAAAATCGTGCAATTAACTTTATTCAAAAAAAAAATTTTTTTGAGCTTTCGGTAAAGACTTTGCTATATTGGACATATAGATTTTAGAGAACATATATATAGTATGATTCCAAATTTTAAAACATTATATTATGTATATCTTGCTCTTTTCTGCCGTTTCACTACAGTCTCACCATTATTAACGTCACAAACAACTTTTTTACCTTTTTCGATATTAGGTTTTCTTGTTCCTTGATTACTATTATTAAGATCTCCAGTGGTATTGCTTTCTTCTATTGCAGTCTCTGCTGTATATCTTTTTAGACTTGCTGCATACCGTGGAATCCATTTTGCAACTTTCGTTACTTCAGGAACATCCTCAACCAGAATTTCACCTTCTTCTGCAAGAATTTGAAGTTACTTTACCATATCTTTTGCTGTCATTTGATCTGTTTTATTCACATTACCCGCCAAAAAATAACTTTCAAGGTAAGATCTTACTGTGCTTGTCATTCGTTTTCCTGCTCCTCTTTTTCTATATTTCTGATTACTTTTTAACGCCCAACCTCTTTTTAATTCGAATACTTCTTCTACATCTTTAAAAAAATAATAGAATAAATCAAATTATAAGTAAAAAAAAAAAAAAGATATATACATATTATATTACATCATATATACCTAACAATGCATAAATTGGATATTACATTGTTCTTGTTTCTTTGTATCTAATAATATACAATTAATAAAGTGTAATAAAAATATTTTCAAATACAATTATTATCTTGAACTCGAGATAATGAAAAATTCCATATATTTTTTGGAATCGAATGAGGAGTAATGTTGGGTGTTGGTTTGTTTATAGGTATCGTAGTTAGTTTTGAAAACTGTGACCATGATCCAATATGTGGTAAGTATCGTGCTCGTATATATCCAGTATAATTAGCCATTCAAAATAAAACAATTGAGTAATATCAGCAATTGTTTTAATATTGTGGTTATTACGTATAGGTTCTATATTTGCAACAGAAGTTCCTCCTAAGTCGCTATTGCAGTTTGTATTTTTTCCCCTTCATCTAAATTATGTCCAATACAGATATATCTTTTTATAGCGTGTACAATCTAAGAAAATTTTATTATTTAGTAAAAAAAAAAGATATATGTAAATAAAAAAAAAAGAACTTCAGGTTACGCCCAAAGTTTTATTTTTCTAGTGCTTATTTATAATTCAAAGCTTACTTGTGCATGATGGAAATCAACACTTGTTTTGGCTTCTCCGGGTTCAAGAAAATACCAACCACGAACTTTAATGTTATACAATTGAAACTAATTAGCAACAGTAATAATCAGCTCAGAGTTATGGTAGTGTGCACCATTATCTGATAATATTTCAACCCATTGTGGTCTAGGATTGAGAGTTTCAAAAACAGAATCAAATGATGAAAGGGTAAACCGTGTATCTTGTTTAGTGTCGGTACTCCAATGATCAAATGCTTGAACATTAAGTTGGTCTGTATTACATTTTGTAAATACTAAAATTGTATGTAAACTCTACCCTCTTTTTCCAAAAAACTGTTCTTTTATTTCCCGTGCACTTTTAGGTAAAATACGCATTTTGTAATCACATACTAAAATTGCTCCATCGTTATCTAATTTTGCAAGTCTGGCTTTAAATTGACTATTCAAATATACCTTTCTTGCTTGATGTGCCAAAAAATAATATAACTTGTCACGACATTCTTCAATAGTTGAATAGTGTTCCTTGAGATTTGTCATAAGATATTGGATAAATTCAAATAGCCGATCACATGCTGCACATCGATTGGTATGTTGTTCATAATATTTGCCAAAAGCATAAAGTAAGCAGTGATTAATTGTATCTACATGTATGGTTGTACCATCCTGATTCATAATAATTTCTTCTTCAAATTCTCTTCTTAAATGAACAGTAATTTTTCTAATTCTGTGATTAATTTATTCTATAAAATATAGATATAATAAATAAGAATTTTTATTTTCAAAAATATAATACATATATATATAAAATATAATTACTTTTTCTTCTTGATCTACAACGTTTAATCGAATTAAACTAATCAATGTATCAAAAACCTCATAAAAATATTCATTACAAATACTACATAAGCCTCCTAAATCATTTCGATAAACATATTGCCCATTTGCTAATTGTGCCATAAATGACGTTCATTTAATTCCATCTGGATAAATTGCTTCATATTTTTTCCAAAGTGCTTCCTTATTGTCTTTTAGATAAAGAATTGGAAGATTTGTTTTTGAATGAACTTTATAAGAACTCATAGACATATTGTCTTTATCTGCAAAAAATGCTTCAAACTCCCGATCTTTGATTTCTGATATTCGACTTCGAGATACTATAGGTTTACTTATAGCAATACAACCAGATCCATTAATTCGTAAATATTTTTTTGCTGCATCCATCAAATCATTTGAAATCTAAAAAATTTAGTATACTACTGTATTAGCAGAAAAGTTTGATTATTAAAGTTACTTTTTGAACTTACCCTTAATTTTTCTCGTATTTCATGCTGTTTAAAATTATTGGCAATTATTGATAAGATTCTCTGTTTACTATTTATACCACGATTATTTATTTTGATAGAAGTATCGAAACAACCCCAAAACTGATCAACCTTATTTTGAAGATTTCAGTTTTTTACTAATAGTTCTGATTCTAATGGATCATATGAAATACCATTTAGAAGGTTTTTTGTGTATAAATAAAGTATTAATGCACGATCACTTGATGGATCTTCTGCGTATGTCCAAAGCTCAAGCTATTACGAAACAAATTACAATATTAGTTTATATATATAAATATGGTTTAAACGTTCAATAATTTATAGCCTACATTTGATTTCTTTTTTTTATAGGGTGTTATATTAGTACATCCAACATATCGCATCATTGATCTCCATGCTCCTAGGATCATATTGGTAAATTTAAAATCTGCTGGATATATAGAAGCAAGATGGGAAGAAAATTCGATAATAGTTGTTGATTGCTGCTTCTATTTAGTAAAAAACTGATACCAATCTAAATTAACAACTGATATTCTCCTTTTTAAATGTTTTTCAAAAGCATGTGTAATTATTTCAATATTATTCCAGTCATACACTTTACAATACGATACAGTTATATAAGTTTGAATAGCTTGTATAACAAGTTGATCGCATAATCCAAATAAATTTTTGCCATTATAATTTTTTAAAATATCTGGTTTTGACCAAACGTCATTTGGAGATTTTCCAGTATAAGTTCGAATTTTGTTTTCTTGATAATATATGTCTATTTTACACTCAGTGTTCATTATTAATTGGTATATTAAAGAGCGTTGTCTATGATATTTATAAAAAAAAGATGAACAGTAATCAGGGCCTGCAAAGTTTAATTCTGCTTGATCTGAACTTCCCAGCGCTATCACAAAAATCACAATGTCATGAGCAATAATTTGAAATAGAAAAAACAAAACTTCTGCTTGTAATTGCTCAACTATTATTTCATTATTAAAACCTAAAACACTTGGTCCAGAAAAGCGTGTCTTTGTATTGAAAAGTTTGTTGTAAGTTTCATTTATTGCTGCACTAGATGTTGAGTAAATTATAGCTTCTATATCTAACTCACACACATAACCAGGCTTCCGATTATTGCCGACTACTTGAATAATAAATTCTTCTTGGTTGAGTTCAAATTTAATTCTCATATTAATGCGAATTGGAGTACTTTTCTTATTTTGAGAATTTTTGGTATTTGGAAATATCCACCAATTAGTAGCAAAAGGTCCATAATGTAGTTCTTGGACAATAATACCAGGAGCTAACAATTGGCTTTTATAATTTTAAACTGACATGAAATTAAACTTGTTGGATATGAAGATTTAGATAGCAAATGCATTTTTATTAATATTAATTAACGCGATAATTCTATATTAAATTTTGATCACGTGATCTGATTGATTGACGAATTGGCAATTAAGTTGATTCTGGTTATTACTGCTGCATGGTCGCTATTTGTGTAAAAGTCCATTTCTTGAATTTCTGTGTCAAATAGTCCATAAGAGAGTTCGTTTGACACCCAAATTTGATCAATTCTAGTACTTGTCTCTCCATTCGACCATGTGAACTTTTTGGCTCTTGGATATATTGTTCTGAAAGTATCTTGAAACTCTTGTCTCTGCAGCCAATTTAAAAGAGTATCATGTTTTAATTTTTTCTTTTCTGTATTCTATGTTCTGTCTAGCTCTGGGTCTACTATACTGTTGAAATCTCTCATAATTATCAATTGCGACCTGAAAGATCTATTAATGAATTTTTCTATAATTGTTTTATGAATCCTCTTCTTTTCTTGTTCGTTATTTGGTGGTATGTAAAGCATTATTATAATAATCTCTAGCTGTTTAAGTATTAAACTTATAGAGATTATATACTCGCTTATTCTGTCTACTTTACCTATATATTTTTCCCATTGTTCATTTACTAATAGTACAACTCCAGAGCCTTTTTTCTTGTTACGATCTGAGCTCATCCAAAAGCCTTTGTAGTTAGATTGAGTTTTCAATAAACATTCTTCTTCCAATCTTGAAATGTTTGTTTCTGCAATACCCAGAATATCTATTTTGTTATCTGATGCCCATTCAAGAGCAAATTCTAATTTGTGAGCATTGCTTTTAATGTCATTAACATTATGTGTTGTGATACTAAGTTCCTTTGTTTGATTACTATAGTCTTTACTTGCTATGTACCTAATGTTTCTATTTTCCTCTAGTTCTAATTCTCCTCTATTCATAACTTCCTTTCCTTTTCTGCTACCTGTGTTGTTCAGTGGGCAAAGGATAAAATTCTCCTGATTAATGTTCTTTTGCATATTTGTTTGCAGAAAAGGCTTAGATCCTTCGCCATTTTTCTTTAATTTAACTATTGCTCCTAAATTTAGGAGCGTTGAGCAGCCAAAGGCTGATCACTAAGTTTTTTTAGATGTTGCATGATCTCTTGCAACATTGTATAATGTTTATCAATTCTTGCCGCTAAGCTTCTTTCTTCTGTAGAGTACTCATAGCTTGAGCTTCTTGATTCTCTTCTTTTGTTAGAGTCTTCCCTTTTATCTTTCCAACTACTTCCTTCACCTCGGCTACCATCTTTTCTATCTGGTGTTTGGTCTCTTCCACTTACTGAGGACATTCTTCTACTATATCTTCTTTCTCTTGATGAAATCTCCTCTTCATCGTATACTTGTTTTCTTCCTCTTGAGTTGTTATTGTAACTTCCTCTCTCTTCTGAACTACTTTCCTTCTCCAAATTCTTTCTTTGTCCACTTTGTAGCCAGACGAGTTGTAAGTTATTATATCTTACTGACTTATTCTGCACTTCTCTCATTTCTTTTTCTGTAGCAAAAG